AATATTTATGAAACCACAGTATTCAAAACATAAGTTCTTCAACAATACTAATTATAATTGTGCTGTAGCAGGAAATGAAAAAAATGCAAGGAATCAGACCGGGATTAGAACTCGGGCCCCCTGAATTTTCAGTCAGATGATCAACCTTCTGAGGTATCTGGCCACCGACGATCGCATTCCTCCCTCCATAAAGGTCTTTTGCCATCAAAGACATCAACCCGGACATTTCCATGGCAGGACTTTCACCTGTCTCTTCCAGTGCATGGCACGGCACCTTATGTCACAGGAAAGGAGAAAAATGCTGAACTATATTGGCAAGGGTTATCAAACTCGTCTGACCGTCATAGCCCTAATTAGTCTATTATCTATAGATGCAGGGAATTTCAGTACTACAAAATGCTCACTCATGAAGTATAATCTTTTATTTACTGTGGATCAACAGAGCTCAAAATTTAAGGTTTGCAATTAGCTCTGGAACGTCTCTGATCTAGAAAAAACACTCAGATGCGGGAAAATTCTTAAACAGTTGAATTTTTTTTTATAGAAGTAATGTTTATTATCATGTAAATAACATGATCTTTAATAAAGGAGTTTAACTAAAAAAAAGACATTCAAGTTTACATGCATTACTTTTTTCTTATGCTTGAAGTGTGTGCTGCATAAATAAACAAGCATTCTGAGAGTATTGCATTAGCAATACTAGTCCCCTACCGGCAAGTGTAATCTGGTTCCCGTAATTATTGAAAATGCCATAATTTCGTCAAAAATTAATGAAACGGGACGAAATGCAAACTTGATCTATAACTAATCAAGGTAAAGCCACATACCAAAAATCAGCTTAATATCTACAAGCGTTTAGAAGAAAATTGCGGAAAACCCATAAAAATTGAAAAGGCCGTAATTCCGTCAAAAATCAATGAAGCGGAACGAAATGCAAACTTGATCTGTAACTCATCAAGATACACTCACATACCAAAAATCAGCATAATATCTGCAAGCGTTTAGGAAAAAAGTGCGGAAAACCAAGTGGGACAGACTGACAGACAGACAGACAGACAGACAGACGGACTGACAGACAGACAGACAGACAGACGGACGGACAGACTCAGAGGAAACCTATAGTCCCCTCCGGTTTCACCGGTAGGGGACTAATAATAGGTAAAAATTAAAACTAATTTCAAATATTTTTCATGAGAATTGGACGTACATATATACTCCCATATCGTTTCTTTTTCTTGTTAGCCTAATGCCTTCGGATGTTCTTTTGTTCTGAAATTTTTACTAGTTTGCAAAATATCCTCTCATCTTTTCTGTAATGTTTTAATAAATGCATCAGAATTGATCAAAGATGCTTTATTTATATTGGGTTTGTATTTCCTATTTTTAATTACAGCAACAACCCTCTCAAGTGTAATGAATCAGTATGCTAAGTACAAACGGAACGCATTATTTATACATAAGAAATGTTTTGCAATGTTATTTCGTCCAACTTTCAATATTTCCCGTATTTGATTGATATAATAGTAATACTGATTATGGATTCAACAACCTTGATCCGTCATCTGTGGGTTCCATGATTTAGATTTTAACGCATAGATTAGTAGGAAATATATGCATGTGCCAATGGTAGGAATAAGCACCAATAATGGACTGCTGAGGACTTGTATAATGCTTGCATTTACTTTGGAAGGTCAGCAGACATCGTATTTGTCAGGTAGCTAACGCGAGTTTTATGTGAAACGGATATAATGAGACACAGATTCGCCTCAATTGGTCAGCAAGGACTGCAAGCACAAAATTATGAATGTTTCAAGCTCTAAACGTAATTAAAAAATCCACCAAATTTGTCCCAGCTCCTATGACTTTAGAGGCCTGTGTTTACTCTGCTCCCTATTTTTATTATTTTAATTGACTTTTGTACAATGGTAGGTGCCAATTGTTCATAGAATTTCTTTTTTTCTTTAAACGGTATTTTCTTTTAACAAAAATATTTAATAAGAGTATTTTGATCTTATTTGCAAGCTTGCTCTAAAATATACAAAACGTATATCAGTAGCATCATTGTTGAGGTCAAGATGTTCTCTAGGTTGTTCTCAGTACGACTGAGTGTCATCCCCTCCAGGTAATCCTCAGATTCCTGTGCAGTGCCCCTACTGGTGGGGTTTCCCATTCTATATTTAAAAAAAAAACATTGGATTTTTCGATCACATTTAACTTCTTTTTTTTTTTTTACTTTTTACTTTTATTTTAATAAAGAATCTCTAGTATATATTACATGTATTTATTTTACATGAATTTCACTGATATTTAGCAGAATCATTATAAAAATCGAAAGCTGTCTTTTGTTCACTATACAACCCTAAAGAAGTGATGAACACCAAAAGAATTAATATTCAGTCTACATGTGTAAGAATTTTAAAAACAAATAAAAATAATTATATATGAGGTCAAACAGAACATTTAAAGTATGCAAAGAAACTGGAGTTTCCCTCATCTAAACATAATATTGAAATGGTCTAAGAGTAATTTATCTAAATCTCAAATTATTTTGATTATCAGAGAAATGTTTTCCAGAACTGCTCTTTCTGGTTTATATTGCAATTTTCATTACTTTAATTTAGTATTATGAACATACTAGTATTGATGCACATATTCATATCTTGGATATAAATGATTTAAAGATTAATGCAAAGATAAGTGGGAAATGTTTGCAGATATACACACTTTGATAGGAATAACAAACAATAAGCGAGGACTGAAATATTGCTTTATCAACCTTAATAGGTAAGTATGTATCAAATCTGACACATTGATAACGTGAATGTCATGTGAGCGGTTAGATTTTGTGATTTTGGTCGGCAGAGAGTGCAATCATAAAATAAAGGTAACTGTTTAAGTTTAATTTTTTTATAGCAATATCACAATATTTGTCCTTGTAAGTACTCGGTGCCCAAAGAAGTTTTTTTCTCTTTAAATAGCATTTTCTTTCAAGTTACGGAAAAGGTTAAGATATTTTCTGCAATACCACTCTCCAATCTGTACGAATTCTTTTATTTTTCTATTTTACATCACTTTCTATGTCAAGGAAAAGGGTGTTACTATTAAATAACTTCGTAGCACAGATAAGGCTACAAAAACAAGGTAGCCTAGTGCTGGGTGTTTGCTTCGTGATCGGGAGACCCTGGTTCGATTCTCGTTGGCCGCTTGACGTAAACATAGGTAGTGACTAGTTATTTCGCCAAGCGCCCGACATTGGAAATGAAAGTCAGGGGTCTCTCGGATATGACCTTTAAAATGTAGGTCCCGTATCGAAGTGGCCGTTGGCACGATAAAGAACCCTCATTGCTCAATGGCCCTGAGTGCCGAGTATACGTCTAAATTTGAAACCCTTCACCGGCATACGGTATCGTCTCTATATGAGTGAAAAATTCTCGAATGGGACGTTAAACATTGTACGATGATCAATGATGCCATCATACAAAACTAACAATTCTATAAAAAAAAAAAAAAAACCCCAAAAATAATATTTTATACTATAGGGGGTTTTTGAATTACATTAAAACTTAGTATTACATGCTGATTTGCCGTTAGTTAAATCCCATATAGCAGAACAAGAAACTGATCGCGATGCACTTGTCGAGGTGACGTCATTCCATAACATTTGATGCCTTTTGCATGCAGCGAGAAGTGGATCAAGTAATATTCACAACGAAAAATGCATTTCATCATTAGATAAAATATTATTTCAAGATATTTAAGATATTTAAGAGGTTATTAACTTTGATGCGAGATGTTTTTTTTTTTATGATTTTATTCAGATACTTTCCGTACATTTCTTAGTTAACTGATACTATTGTAAATTTGTATGTAGGTACGTTGGAGGTTAATATAAGGGTCTTAATAAAGCGATCTAGTGCATGGACATACACACAATTGATCTTAATAAGCTTTTACACGTAAACCTTAGAAGTATTAAGATATTGGAAAAGTGCTGCGACCCTGTGGAAATCTTGAAAATGAAATAATTATTTCTATATTTAAAGCAGTTGACCAGCGAAACATTCAGCAATCAGTCTTACAAATATAATTTTAACAATGAAATAGTCTTACAAATGTAATTTTAACAATGAAATAGTAGAATCTAAATAAGATCGAAGCACTTTGCACAAACTACAATGTGTGTTGAAATATTTGTATACTAAACTTTCGATTTTTAACTTGGTTATGCCCTTGCACCTTTGAAATTTACAGGTAACCCCAATGCTGCATGTATATTATCTAAAATCACGTAACTGTCAATCATGTGACAAGTTTGAATAGAAAGCCCAATCGACCCCAATGTAGTTACTAAAGATAATGCATATGTCCGATATCAGTGAAGTACTAAAATGATTCACCATTCTGATAAAGAATTAATTTTTTATCACAAAATTGTCGTTATTTTCATTGCGCACTTAACCTGTACTGCGTTCTATTCACCACTACTCTCTTTAATTTTGTCGTAAAAGCAACATAAACAAATATTCAGCTTTTTCCCCTCAAGATCCCTGTGTATATCTAGTTCAAATGACGCTATAATTTGCTATTTCTCTAGATCTGTCTTCATAAAATCTCTGAAGTTAAAATAAGGCTGGCAATAATTCTCTTAAGAGTAATGATATCTGTGGTGGTGCTGATAGAAACACACGGGGCATTATTGCAAGAAACTTCAAGATACAATTACAATCTATACAATTTTATATTTTAATAGTGATCCTTTGACAAACATTTTGAATGGGTTCTCTTAAATATACTTTCTAAATTCCGATAAAAAAAGGTACTTCCAAGCATTTATGAAATAAAAAATCCAAATATTTTTTTTAACTCAGAGTCAATGACATGGGTTATCGTATAACAACTCAGTATGTGATTTTCTATGTCTTTCTCAAATGATGTTCATTCAAATATTTATGAACAAACCCTAAACTTTTACTATTTTTTCAGATTAACAAGGACCAGTGATGGACCCCCGCGCCTGTGCTCAAGATGTGATGCGCTGTGTCATGTGTGAGACTGCTGTTATACAAATGCACTGTGAAACATGCCTTCTGAACCTGTGTAAGGCCTGCGTGGGAGAACACATCTCAACTAGTATATCTAAGAATCACAAAGTTGTAAAATTTCAGTCAAGGAAATTCACTTCTCTTTACCCTGGATGTGCCACCCATGGAGAAAAACGTTGTGAAATGTATTGTAGGCACTGCGACATTCCTGTCTGTCACATTTGCATTGCATCTGATCAACACTTCCAACACAAATTATCAAACATCTTGCATGTTCTGGGTGAAAGAAAAGACTTGATAAAGAAAGAACTAACTGAATTAAATGAGTTCATATATCCTACCTACCAGGACATTGCATGTGATCTAAAAGAGAGAATGAGTCAGTTAGAGACGGAATATGGAGATCTTTCAACAGCCATAACAAGACATGGAGAGGACTGGCACAGAGAAATTGACAAACTTGTCAATAAATTTATAGCTGAAGTTTATGAAATGAAGACCTCACAGTTACACATTTTAAAAAATCATCTGGATGAAATTAACGACAAAATTGTAAATATTAAAGTTGATATTGATTCACTTGATATTGTTGTAGACTTTAATGACATGTCAAGACTATTAAGAGTGAGATGCAATGTAAATAAATATAAAAAGTTTCCACAAAAACCTTTGCCCTTTGTACCTAAATTCTATCCAGGGATATTCCAAGGCAGAGAAATTTTTAAACTTTTTGGAGATTTGTCATCAATGTCTCTTACAGAAGAAAAACATGGTTACAGTATGAAGAAAATAAAAAAAATCAAAGAAAGTTAGTCCAATTCATTCAGTCCAAAAGAAATCAACGCACATTGTATCCCCCTCTACTTTCTCTCTGAAATCATCAGAAGTAGGAGCCTCTCTAACAGACAAAGAGGAATCATCAGAATATGGATCCTAAAACATACGCAAAAAGCTGTTTTGTTCAGATATTTTTAGTGGAATGGAGTTTTTTGGCATCGAGACAAATATTGCATGCCTGGGTGATGACAAGTTTTGGACATGTGGAGACAGCAGTACCATGACACTCTACAGCATCAATGAAGGTTCTGTACAAATTGTCAATTCAATTAAAACAAAGTCAAGGAAAAACCCAACAGATATAATAATAACAAGAGATGGACGTCTAGTTTATACTGATTACAAGACCAAAACTGTGAACATTCTGATATCTGAAAAAAATTATGAGTTGATCAGATTGAAGACCTGGAGACCCCAAAGTGTCTGTACAAGCTCCTGTGGTGACCTTTTGGTTTCCATGGAAAGTGATGACAAAAAACAATCAAAAGTTGTGCGATATAATGTTTACAAAGAAACAAATACATATTCCTTCGCTGCGGAGAAACAAAAAATTCAGCTTGTTGATAAGGGTCTACCTTTTTATTCATCTGGTAGTTCTGATAAATACATATGTGAGAACAAGAACCATGATATTTGTGTATCTGACTGTGGAGCTAAAGCTGTAGTGGTCGTCAGTCAGGCCGGAAAAAGGAGATTTCGATATACTGGCTATACTTCTGCTCCAAATAGTAAACCACTAAATCCAAGAGGAACCACTACAGACAGTCAAAGTCACATCCTTATTGCTGACCATGATAATTATAAGGGATGTCAAATCGGTCAATACTAGTATTTGATAATCGGTTAATCGGAAATTTTTCCGATCGACTACCCGGGTACTCGGTAAAAATGTCAATTTTACAAGTGTGTGTAAATTTTGTTGAGCCTAGTGTTAAGCTCCGTTTAACTACAACGATGTATTCTGTAACGTCTATAATGCATGTATATAAACATCGAGTCCAACGAAAATATTTTTTTTAAAAAATATTTATAAAAAAAAAACAAACAAACAAAAGCATAAAAGTCATCAATTAATACACCAATAATTACAAATGATTTATAGTTCTTATTTAGGAAGACGCTTTAATCAACTCAAGAGGCCTAAGAGGACAATCAAATTTGTAATGATCAGGCTACCGACACGCTAAATTTACTCTGCATAGCCCACTTTAAACATTTTTTCAATCATCAGTTAAATAATATTTGTTCACTTTAAAAGTGGGTAGCGGCATTTCTAAGCATGTCCGATTTCGCTACCGTATAGAAACTAAATAACTTTAAAATGATTTAAAAACAATAGGCCATACTTAAACGATGTTCATTGAAAACAAATCATTGAAGCCATCCAAAAATTAAGGGCCACAATAGGTGAGAACTGCTGTGTACAAGGTGAATGGTCACTAATTACTGTATATACACAACCACAGGCGATAACGGGTGTTTTTCGGGTGTAGGCGACGGCACGCTATTTATGTATGCACATTTAAGTTATTTTTTTGGTAAGTCTTTTTTAGGTCACCTGAGTCACTCAGGTGACCTATTGCTATCCGTTTTCGTCCGTCGTCGTCCGTCGTCCGTCGTGCGTTGTGCGTCGTGTGTTAACATTTGAACATTTTCAGCTTCTTCTCTGAAACCGCTGAACCAATTTCAGCCAATTTTGGCATATAGCATCTATGTGTGAAGGGGAACAAAATTTGTGAATTTCACGGTCCCTGCCCCCCTGGGGCCTGAGGGGTGGGGCTAAAACCACTAAAATTAATGCAATCTTTAAAAATCTTCTTCTTTACTCCTGGACAACAAGGAGTCAAACTGTTGGCATGATTATAATAAGCATTGAGCCCTCTACCAAAATTGTGAAATTCATGGCCCCAGGGTCAGGGTTTCTGGTGCTAGGGCGGGGCTATATAGATCATATAGTGAAAGTGCATTATTTCTTTGAAAATCTTCTTCTCTACTCCTGGGTATTATTGAAACAAATTGAATACATAGTTACGATAAGCAAGGGTGACTCTACCAAAATTGTGAAATTCATGGCCCCAGGGTCAAGGGTTCTGGTGCTAGGGCGGGGCTATATAGATCATATAGTGAAAGTGTATTATTTCTTTGAAAATCTTCTTCTCTACTCCTGGGCATTATTGAAACAAATTGAACACATAGTTATGATAAGCAAGGGTGACTCTACCAAAATTGTGAAATTCATGGCCCCAGGGTCAGGGGTTCTGGTGAAAAGGTTGGGGGGGGGGGATGCTCTATTGATTATATAGTGAAAAAGCAAAATTTCTTTGAAAATCTTCTTCTCTACTCCTGGTTATTATTTAAACAAATTGAATACATAGTTATGATAAGCAAGGGTAACTGTACCAAATTTGTGAAATTCATTGCCCCAGGGTAAGGGGTTCTGGTGCTAGGGCGGGGCTATATAGATCATATACTGAAAGTGCATTATTTCTTTAAAATCTTCTTCTCTGCCCCTGGGTATTATTTAAACAAATTAAATACATAGTTATGATACGCAAGGATGCCTCTTCCAAAATTGTGAATTTCATGGCCCCAGGGTCAAGGGTTCTGGTGAAAAGGTGTGTGTGTGTGTGGGGGGGGGGGGCTCTATTGATTATATGGTGAGAAAGCAAAATTTCTTTGAAAATCTTCTTCTCTACTCCTGGTTATTATTTAAACAAATTGAATACATAGTTATGATTAGCAAGAGTGACTGTACCAAAATTGTGAAATTCATTGCCCCAGGGAAAGGGGTTCTGGTGCTAGGACAGGGCTACATAGATCATATTGTGAAAGTGCATTATTTCTTTGAAAATCCTCTTCTCTGCCCCTGGGTATTATTTAAACAAATCAAATACATAGTTATGATACGCAAGGATGCCTCTTCCAAAATTATGAATTTCATGGCCCCAGGATCAAGGGTTCTGGTGAAAAGGGGGGGGCTCTATTAATTATATATTGAGAAAGCAAAATTTCTTTGAAAATCTTCTTCTCTACTCACGGGTATTATTTAAACAAATTAAATACATAGTTATGATAGGCTGACTCTACCAAATTTGTGAAATTCATGTCCCCAGGGTCAGGGGTTCTGGTGAAAAGGGGGGGGGGGGGCTCTATTGATTATATAGTGAAAAAGCAAAATTTCTTTGAAAATCTTCTTCTCTACTCCTGGTTATTATTTAAACAAATTGAATACATTGTTATGATAAGCAAGGATGCCTCTTCCAAAATTGTTAAATTCATGGCCCCAGGGACAGGGGTTCTGGTGCTAGGGTGGGGCTATATAGATCCTATAGTGAAGGTGAATTATTTCTTTGAGAATCTTCTTCTCTGCCCCTGGGTATTATTTAAATAAACTAAGTACATTGTTATGATATGCAAGGATGCCTCTTCCAAAATTGTGAATTTCAGGCTCCCAGGATCAAAGGTTCTGGTGAAAAGGGGGGGGGGGGCTCTATTGATTATATAGCGAAAAAGCAAAATTTCTTTGAAAATATTCTGGTTAAAAAGCAAAGAAGCTAAGTGTATAGTTATGATGAGCAAGAGTGCTTCTTCCAGAGTAGTAAATTTCATGACCCCCTGGGTCAGATGTGCTTGTGTAAGGGTGGGGCTCTTGATAATATAGTGAAAATGCATTAATTCTATTAAATAATCCTGTCTGCTCTTAGTGTTAAGCAGACAAACAAAGTGATTACTTATGATGAGCAAACTTCTGGTCCCAGGGTGAGAGGCTCTGGTGTTTCTCGGTGGGGAGGGGGGGGGGGGGCTCTATTGATAATATAGTGAATATAGTGAATCTGTAGTAAAAGTGCATTATTTCTTTAAAATTTTCTCTGCACCTGGGCAAATCAGAGGCAAAAAGAGTAAAAGTTTTAATAAGGAAGGGTATTTTTACCAGATTTTTGAACATCTGGACCATTTGTTCAAGTGTTCTGGTCCTGGCCAGGGCTCTATTAATTTGTATTCTATTGAGAGGAGTTATTCCTCTTTGCCATTTACTTTTGATAATTAATCACTGTAAATAATGTACTTGAAAGGTTAATAGAATAGGAGAATTATGCAAGAATTGTTATTGTATAATACAAAAAGTACTTTCTTAGTTTAAATGATCAGGTAGACTTGTAAGTAATAGATAAATAAAAATCAGACAAAAATAACTTGTCTTATGAAATGTTCATCAAAGACCAAGAGAGGCTAATGTAAGAGATTTCAACAAGGAATTAAAATATTACAGAAGCACTGATAGTTTGTTAATATACTTATGGTGAGAGTGATAAATGGGGAAGAGATTAGAACCTAATTTATGAACTGTTATTGAATACTAGACTAATTATTTTGTTGATCCTGATCACCCTATTTTTCTTGCATTTGGGCAACAAAGGTTCACCTTTTAGTTCATTTTATACTCTATGAATTCTCTAAATTGTTGTATGATACTCAGGTGACCGTTAAGGCCCTTGGGCCTCTTGTTAATAAATATATGTACTTTGAAATAAAAAAAATATATATACATCCGAGTAACCGAGTACCATTAATATTTTTAGTATTCGGTACTAGGACGTTCGATCGAGTACCCGGTTAACCGGGTACTCCTTGACATCCCTAATAATCATTGTGTCCACGTTATGGACCAAGATGGACAGTTTCTAATTTACATAAGTCTCCGATTTCTTGAACCATATGGATTATGTACAGATTCAGAAGACATTCTGTTTCTTGCTGTCACAGATTTAAAAACATTTTTCCACTGAACCATGTGAAGAAAATCAAATACCTGCAGTAAAAATAATCGTGTAATTGAAAATTTACCTGAGTCACCTAGGCGTGAAGAAGTAGACTTAAAAAATATTTTTAAAAAAGTATTTCTTGTTTCCGTACATTTGTAGGTACAATTGTTTAATTACTGTATAAACTGACTAAATATTTAGGGACTTAAGTCTTATTTTGATCATTAGTAAAATGAATAATGCAATGACTAAGTTAAAATATGAAAATGACCACGGTTACTATGTTTACCTGACCAAGCCAATTGGCGTACGAGAGATGGTTCAGTTTGCAGGGGGATTCTTGCTCCTCCATGCCATCTGGTCCCACCTCTGGTTTTTTAGAGGCCCAAAGTTGCTCTCATACCACTTCCAATGTTTGCAGAGTTTCATATTTGCTCCCCATTCAGTTTGTAATGTGAGCAAGATTACTGTCGTTCTAGTATGTTACTAGTGATACAAGTTACTGTATCTTACTGTACAAGTCTTTTTTTATTACGGTTTCAATGAGGTTTATACATTTTCAATTAAATTGGATTATAAGATGATAATTAATGCATTGAAAAATATGTCTCTATTTTGGGCATATCCCGCTTGATTCATTTTATTTTTTCATATTTACAAGATACAATAAATGTTTGATTCACGCCTCAAGTACAAAGAAACTGTATGTCAAACTAGGCAGTGAAGTCATTTCAGTCAATGCTGCGAGATCACAAGCTGGCTTTTATTCTACATTGGTATAATGCTATTATGGCGAGAAATTTGCATGTCGATTTATTTCTACATTATTAATGAGAAGCAAAGTATATTAGCGTGTATGAAACAAGTTTTAGCATTTATTCATCGAGACCTTTTGTATTATTTTAAACCATAGGATGATGTATGTATGGGAATCCTTGACCTAGCTGCGAGGGATCAGGTGCGTAGGAGGAGTAAGCATCTCCTGTCGACCAGACACGCCCGCCATTAGCCTTATGTACGAGGGTTGATCCAGAAGTAGTGTCTTAACAGCTATAAAATCTTTAATAGTCGAATGTATGCGACAGTCAGGACCATTGAGCAGTGAGCGATCTTTTTTCGTGTCAGTACCTACTGAGACACGGGGCCTCGGTTTATACGGTCTCTTCCGAAGAACCGGTCTTCAATTAGATTCGAACCAGCGACGTAAGGATCAACTCCTTTCTCTGAGACTTTAGAGCAAACGCTCTAACCACTGCGCCACAAGGATGACAAAGTATACAGATTTACAACCATTAATGCATTTCGTGGAATACATTCTATTACTGAGGATTGTACATGTATTTCACTCCATTACAACATACGGTGCTATTTATAAACGATCTTTTTAGAGTTGAAACCAGCAATAGACACTCTATTATTCTGAACTGTTATTTTCATAGCCATTTTTAAAAATTAAAATCGTGAGTTTTAAATCGTGTTATTGGTTTCTCCTTGGCTTTTTGGGTTATTCTGATCAATATAAGTATAGATAGATATGACACTTTTGATTCAATGTTTGATACAAATCGGAAAAAAAAATCAAATACTGCAGTGAAATCAATCACTTTATTGGTTCTTTTCCTGAAAACCAATTGATCATAAAGACGATTGAAACACCTAAAAGGTGCGCCTGTTATTTACATATATTTTGGTAAAATTATTTAATTGGTACACATTTAGGGACTACAGTCTTTATTTATTATTAAACCAACACATTTAGTGAATATTATACAAGATATTAAGTCCAAAATGAAATACCCATGGTACCTGATGAAACTGCAGCTCTATTTGGCTCAACTGAGCAAAGTCAAGAGAATGAAACTTGGTAATGTTAAGCTGAGAATACAAAATAAATAAATAAATAAATAAAATCTTAAAATATAATTCGTATATTCATATATTTAATCTTGAAGGTGAATCCATTTTTCTGCAAAAACAAAAATACTACATTTAGAAGTAATTCAGTAGAAAAAGAAATCCATGTGGTTACCACTTCATCTCTGTCACATCATTCGCAAATTTAGAGGAAGAAGTCAAATTGCACAATCTTATTTAAAAGTCCGTAGAATAAAACCATTATATTGAATTCAGTGAAGAATGAAAACATTGCATGACAACACACTGGATCGTCTCTTATTACATCAGTGACATACCATTCATACAAAAGAGAGGAGAAAATCAGTTTGCACATAAAGATTTAAGGCTGCAGAAAGGAAAGGTCACTACCGGATATGGTAAAGTATGAAATTGCTACTTGAGAACGTTTATCTAAGATCATTTCAAATTTAACACCGAGACATCATTCACACAATAGTAGAGGAGAGCAAGGTTTATGAAACAAATTTTAGAAAGCATAGAGAAAATCACTCTCAAAAAAAAAAAAAAAAAAAAAAAAAAAAAAAAAAAAAACAGATTTTAATGTACATATACTATTTCTCAAGGACTTTCCAAAAAAGTCCAGTGGTAGTACAAATACTTTTCATCAAAATAAGTTTTAGTGATGTATTGTTTTGTCATCTGATTACAGCAGAAAATAACTAAGGTGTTCCAAATTTAAAGAAAAGAGCAATTACAATCACGAGTATGATAAATGGTAGACAGATATAGGCTAGCTATATAGTGTTGTGTGAAGAAAAGCATTTGGTTATTTTAACATCAAGGACGCAATTTTCCCATATTTTGGGTTTTTTTAATAATATAATAAAGTGAAATATGAAGATAACCTACAGTAATTTAGCTCAAGGTCCATTGAAACACTACAAATTGTATGCAGACAAATACGGACTTCTGAAAACATCACAGGTGGGATCAGGTGCCATTCCCTGTCTACCGGTCACATCCACCATGTGCTCCTTGCTTGTCATGATAGGCTGAACGGGAACACTTTACAGTGATTAAGTGCGAAAATAATGGCCTAAAAATTGGTATGAAAAATGCCAACTATCATTCAACTTAACGATTGAATATATTTGATAACAGGATAATTGTATGGAGTATAAAATTTGCAAATTTTTCGTATTTTGGCTGACTTATTTCCTACCAATTGTTTTTGTACTAAACTGGACTGTTCCGTCTACTGATCAATACATAGGGCTCACGGCGGGTGTGACCGGTCAACAGGGGATGCCTACTCCTCCTAGACATCTGTTTCCAACTCTGGAATTTCCAATAGTCGGTGTAAATGCCCTACTCACAGATTTGTATTGTTTAAAGTTTTTATGAGATCGATAATTGTTCGTTATTTTTACACTTTTTTATTTATCATATGTTCAAGTTTTCACAGAGCAGTTCCGATAAATTTTCAAATATAACACCATTAAATGTAGAGGAACATTTAGAAATAGTAAATCGTTTGAATAACAGAAAAAAGATATTTAATGAAAGAGAATGATTCCGTACGGTGTTGAAGTTCTTCAGTGGATGTATATAGATGGATATAATTGTCAGGGTAAACTTGAGTAAATTGGCTCACACAGAGTTGGTGATAAGTAACATATAAAAATCACTTTCACGATTATTTTTATTTGCGTCATCGCCAAGGGAGATTAAACAAAGTTAACTCCCAAAAACATTGAACCAGGAAGAGAAAACAGATAAAGGTCAAATAACACAGGTCACATGACTTTAAAACATCAATGGTGTAAGACTTTCATTGGAAAGGAGATGAAGCCGCCATTCACTATTTTGTAGTCAGGTAGGTATTTAATTTGACATGAATTCTTTGTTCAATACTTTTTTCTCAATTAACCATTTTATTCAAACTTTTCACAGATGGATTAAAAATGTGTGTACCTTTTGTGATCAAAGTATAGCATATGGCTTGATGATATTTCTTACAAGTCATACATTAAATTAATGCATCATTGACTTTTAAAATACTATGACTGTTTCTGGCAAACTGCCTACATGTACACGTCCGCCATGAAATGGGACGTGCGATTTTATTAAATTGATTAAAAAACATTTTAATTTCCATTCGATTCCAAATTTTTGGGAGGAAATCTATGAGGGTTGACATGTCAAAATGTTCAGTTCTTTACCTTTGAGTAGAAGGTCATGCTCTGTAAGTGGGTATCAGCTTTTTTTACCAGGAGAGTATCCTTTATTGCAAAATATTTACAGATACATACATACATACATACATACATACATACATACATATATATATATATATATATATATATATATATATATATATATATATATATATATATATATATATATATATATATATATATATATATATATATATATATATATATATATATATATATATATGATTTAGATATGGGATTTCTCGATTCGATAAATTTAGATATCAAAATTTTACCTTATAATATGGATAAATGTCACGATTAAGAACCTTCTCAGAATTTCTTAATATGAGTATTTTTTTAGTCTTTTTTTTTACTATAGTATTATTATCAGATTATCGTAAAATTTCACTCTCGTTACTGATTAATCAATACAACCAATAAATATACCAGGGGTAACCAGATTAGATTTGTTCTCTTGTGATGAAAATATATTACAATCTTTAAGTAAATCCTTGAATTTTTATAATATTTTTTAAAAAATATTTCTGTATGTCAACAACTTGGGGGAAAAAATCAATATAAATACCTTATAATTGCCCCCGAGTAACAATTTTCATAGTTAAAGAGTGCATAATAATTATTAAGTATCCATTATTGAAAAAAATGGGAAAGACAAAAAAAAAAAAAAAAAAAAAAAAATCCTGATCTAACAATTATCAATGAATTTTTCTCTGTTCGTTAAAGAGGAACCAAATTAATTTCGTTCAATTAAATACTTACGAGGGCTGTTCGGAAACTATTGAGACATTGTGTATATTCTTCTTTCTAATGAACGTCTTTCGGTGAAAATTTGCATATACGTTTGACAAACACTGAAAATTAATAAAAGCAAAAAATATTTTTCAAATATTTTATTTCTTCTTTTCAATGGTATTTTAACGTGTCAATGGTAAGAGTACCCGGCGCAGTCACGAAATCGGATATTGAAAGTATGTAACACCAACGTTCAAACTCCCTATGGACCCATAGCTAGAGCGAAAATAATTCAATTTATGTATATAATTTTTCAATTTAATTTTGACTTCATTTTGTGCAAGTTTGTTAGAATTTTGATCAGAAATACGGAGATAAGAGCGATATAGAAATCTGATAACGACGACAAAACGGATTTTGACGTCAAGGCAGCGCAGCGAGCATACCTTAAATTTTGTGTAGCGCTAAAGTGAACTCTTTTCCTGCAGACTAAACGACCTACTAAAACAATAACAATGTGAAAAAATGTGTCTATAGGTTTGATTTTTTCAGTGATATATATTTTTTTCTTAAAATAATTCAACCAGAGTAAAAACAAAAACTCGACGACCATCAATTATTACGGACTAAATAACGTTGACCCTCTTTGCATAAATCGGTACTACATGATGCTAAGCCACTTGTATTTGACACTTCATGTATATTTTACACTGGGGTAGCAACAGCACACATTTTATTTTTATTTTTTTAAAGAATCGTTTAAGAAAAGAGACATTTGATTTTTTGAATGTTATATGTGATAACAGAGAAAGATGAGTAAACGCTTCCCGATCGTTTCACATGCGAAAACATCTTCGGCTGACGTGACCTTAAAATGAAGTAGCGATGCTTCTCCGGGTCGGTGGACGTATGCATATTTATAATTTCACCGCAACTTGTCTAATTATCCTATAAATTAGAAATTTTGCACATTTCTTTTATTCGTTGTTCATAAAATCTTGACAAATTTTCATGAATTTATCTCTGTCCGTTATGGAGTAGAAGTAAATGTATCAATAATTTCCGAACAGCCCTCGTATAAACAGAAAGTCCTATAGTGTCTATTTTGTTTTAGATCCACAAGGTCTAAGTCATGTACCCCCGTACCACTGCCCAGGACCTGATGCGATGTGATCTTTGTGAGACGGCTATAGTACAGATGCACTGTGATAGATGTCTCGCCAACCTGTGCAAAGCATGTGTGGGAGAACACATCTCAAAGGATGATTCCAAGGATCACAAAGTTGTGAATTTTCAGTATAGGAATACCACTCCCCTCTATCCCGATTGTGCCTCCCACGAGGAGGAACAATGTGCGATGTATTGCCGACACTGTGATATTCCCGTCTGTCACAGTTGCCTAGCAACGAATCATCACCTCAGTCATACGTTATCAAAAATCTTGCAAGTTCTTAGTGAAAAGCAAGATATGATAAAAAAAGAGCAAACTGAATTGCATAAAAGAATTTATCCAACCTACAAGAGCATTGCCTCTGACGTACAGATCAGAATAAGTCAGTTAGAGGAGGAATATGGAGATCTCTCAGCAACCATAACACAACATGGAAATAACCTGCACCAGCAAATTGACCAACTTGTCTCGAAATTTAAGGCTCAGGCTAATGAAACTAAGGTCTCACAGCTTGAATCATTAAAAAAGCATTTGGATGACATAAACAAAAAAATTGACAACATGAAAATTGAAATCGATTCACTTGATACCGCTGCAAACTCCAATGACATTTCAACAACAATCAATGTAAGATCCATTGTAGATCAATATAAAAAGCTTCCACAAAAACTTGTATCATTTGTACCTAAATTCATTCCAGGGCCAATTCAAGGGGAGGAACTTCATAAACTCTTTGGAGCTTTATTGTTAGTATCTGATACGTCAGAGGAGGATGGTTACAGTATGAAGACAACACAGGAATCATCAGAAGAGGAATCCTTTCCTCCAGTCGGACAAAATACATCAGAAGCTAGATCCTCTCCTCAAGCTAAACAACAATCATCAGAAGCCCGATTCTTTCCACCAGTGCCGCCGAAACCACTAAAGATGAACTTGTTCCCATCTTTAGGCGAACAAAAACCACCTGAAGTTACTTCCCCTCCGTCATTTGAAAAGAAATCACCAGAAGTTACTTCCCTTCCGTCATTTGAAAAGAAATCACCAGAAGATGGATTCCCTTCCCCAGTGATACAGAAATCAGTAGAAGATGCATCCCCTTTTTTAATCAAAAAGCTGCAGAATGAACCACAGATTTTTAGCACAAGTATACCATGTTCAAAATTGATGATAAATATTGCTTGTCTGGGAAAGACAAAGATATGGCTTACATGTAAAGGCAACAATTTTATGGAACTGTACAGTATCAATAACACTTCTGAACTTAAGTCAATCACAACCAGGTCTGGGAACATCCCAACAGACTTAGCAGTAACGGGAAGTGGAGAACTTGTTTATACTGATAAGAAGGAGAGAACTGTGAACATTGTAAAAGAAAAAGAGATACAAGAAGTGATCAGACTACAAAGCTGGAAACCTCTTGGTGTCTGTAGCACCTCCTCTGGTGACCTGCTCGTTACCATGGAAAGTGATGATAAACAATCAAAAGTTACCCGATACTCTGGCTCAACAGAGAATCAATCCATTCAGTTTGATGATCAAGGTAAACTTCTCTATTCATCTGATGGTTCTGATAAACACATATGTGAAAACAAGAACCTTGATATCTGTGTGGCTGATTGTGGAGCTAAAGCGGTAGTGGTGGTCAATCAGGTCGGGGAACTGAAATTCAGATATGATGGACACACACCTGGCCCACTTGATAAAGTATTCAATCCAAAAGGAATCATCACAGATAGTCAAAGTAATATCCTTACAGGGGATTATAATAATTGCTGTGTCCACATCTTAGACAAAAATGGAGATTTCCTACGCTACATTAAGTTTAAGTTTCGACCTTATAGGATGTGTATCGATTCAGATGACAATCTGTTTCTAGCAGTCGCAGAATTAAATTCTTCTTCTCCAAACACAGTGCAGAAAGTTGAATTTTTACGATGAAATCAATCAAGTTATTTTCTTGAGACACAAGAGTCTAAATGCAGAAGTAACTAAAACATATTTATAGCTGATGTACTCTTTAATTTCTGTATGTTTTATGGATCACTTATTTTCTGTAATATATATATATATATATATATATATATATATATATATATATATATATATATATATATATATATATATATATATATATATATATATATGCAAAGAATACAGCCAGACATATTTTAACCAGAAAGACTTTTTTCTTATTATGACCTATCATAACATTAGCCAGGACAAAGATACTAAACCATAGAATAAAGTGTTCAGTCAAAATGGAATCACTACAGACAGTCAAGAGTTAAACATGTACAAGTGATTATGATATTTATGCGTTCACATCATAGACCAGAACGGATAATTCCTACGTTACAGAAAGTTCAATTTTTTCTTCCTTACAATTTGAGTGGAGATAAAAGATATCAATCTCTATGTTGTTGTCAGACTCATTTTTCCAGGTCTGTCAAACAATGTGAAGATAATAAAATACTTGATGTTAAAGCAGTTTTTCATTGGCAACTTTTGAAACAACTGTGTCGAAATGCAGAGGAAATGTAGCATATACCTGATATACTTGCTGTTTTGTGTATGTTAAGATGATAATATTTATTCATGATAACCATTATGTCAAATATGGACGGACTACGCTGCAAATTAAATTATCAAAACATAGTCTTTTATTACAAATACTTTCAACTATCATTAAATTAGCAAGGACAATTGAATGATTAATTAATTGTATGTTGTTTTACGTCCCTTTCAAGAATTTTTCACTCATATAGAGACGTCACCATGTACCGGTGAAGGGCTTCAAATTAAGACCTTTACTCGGCGCTCAGGGCCATTCAGGAGTGAGGGTTCTTTATCGTGCCAACCCCTACCGTGAGACGAGGCCTCGGATTTTAAGGTCTCATCCGAAAGACCCGCAACTTTCACTTCAAAGTGCCGAGCGCTTGGCGAAGGAACAGTTGCTACCTGTTTTTATTGACCAAGGTCAGTCGCGGCCATGATTCGAACACACAACCTTCCGAACACGGAGCGAGCTCTCTACCGACTGAGCTACCATGACGGTGCAAGGGCAATTGTAACAAAACATGAAATATGGAAAATGTAGGAAAAAACCGAATGTAATATAGAAGAAAGTTTGCCGGCTAAACTGGCTATATTATGTATAATGTTCACCTGAGACTAACACACCATCAAATAATTTTAAACTTATCTATTTGTTCATTTTCACATGTCTGTCTTACTAGAATTTTTACAAATTTTGTAAGCGAGGAAATTAAGATAATTTTCGAGTTTCCTTTTAGTATCAATTTCACATACTTGTCCTAGTAACTGGTCAGGATCCTTAGAAGTTTTGAATTCTTTCTTATAAATGTATTTTCTATTATTAAAAGACACTGGGTAACATTTTTTAAAATACTAAGATAATTTTTTCTTCAAAACTGCTCTAGAATACGCATCAATTTTTTAAGTCATGGGAAAAAATGTTATTGTTTCATAACGTTCGCTCACAATTTTGTAATTAACAAATGACTTTAAAATTTCAGTCAGTCAAAAGTTGCGTTTTCCTGTGAAAGGCTAAAATTAGACTAACCAGTAATTGTTTTGCGAGTAAAAATGACAGGGGTGGATACTGATAGGAATACTGGATTTATTATAACAAATATCAAGGTACATTCACATTTATCGTTACTGTTCCTTGCAGTCTATTGATCGAAAGTATCTGCTTTGATTTTCGATCCCGATTCCAAATCAGACGTAAGGCACTACACATATATAGAGATTATTCTTTTGCCAAGCGCCCAACATTGGATGTAAAAAGTATTGGTCTTTCTAGTGAGACCTTAAAAACTGAGGTCCTGTATCACTGTAGAAATTGACACAATAAACAACCCTCACTGTTCAAAAGTCCTGAGTGCCGAGAACGTGTCTAAGGGACCTAAAACAACGAGGTTACAAAGATTCTAAAAATTATACCATTAGAAATTTTTGATACAGCACAACCTAAATATTTTTACAGTAACTTAAAAAATGTAATTGTTAACAATTTCCGTGCTAGAGTTATCAGTCTATATATATATAGAAAGAATTTTTATAAAATTTAACGTATGCATTGACTAATACAAGGGGAAATTTCAATACATGTTGGGTTTTACGATCCTTTTAAATGATTTCCTTTGAAAATACGTTGTAAATTCTAATGGAAAAGGTAATCTAAGGCATTTATGGAATAAATAATTCAATTTCTTTCCTACAACTCCAGAACATGGAAACATGGACCGTCGTATTTGCCAGGTACGTAATGTGAACTAGTTTCAATGACATTTCTTCAAATATTTATATAAACAACAAATCCTAAGCTATTACTAATTCAAAGCTATCAAGTTATCTTCTCAGTGTCAATGTCATAACAATTCAGTAACTTTATACGTTAATAAATAACATTTTATTTTTTCTTTTCAGAATGATCATACAAGTTACCAAAACTACGTAAACGTTATGCTCTGTCAGATATATTCAAGGACGACTAGAATAAACTCTTAAGTCACATTCGAAATTTGATTTTAGCCTTATTATTATTTTATTACTCTGCAAACCTGAAGTACAGTATGGGGAAAAAATACTCTGTAGAATTTTTAAAGTTTATAAGAATTCGTTTTTTGAAAAAAAAATAAGAATAAATGCATAACATTTTGATCAAGTTGTGAGAGGTAGAAAATATTTTATGCACTTCTTTTCCATTTTGTTGAATAAAGAAGCATATTTTTACACTGTGAGTCAAATAACAAATTACTTTGGTGAATGTGAAGGTATACTTTCAGTTTGTGAAGACATATTAATTCAAAGCATAAATTGTATAGAAGCAGTAATAAATTTCCTAAACTGAAAGTAAAAAAAAATCACATTCATTTGCTTGAAAGTTACTGTATATGACTGAGACAGGATATTCCAAGTTGTGTTTGTTGTCTTAAGAAAACCTGATCTGTGCAAAATTTGATACCTTATTAAAATTGGAAAATGAATTTTTAAAAATATCTAGCGTTATCATTTATCAAAAAATATTACAGGAAATGAACTTGTCTATTCTATGTGATGTGCAAAATATCTTATTCCTAAAACATAATTTTCTGTTTGTAACATATTCTCCGTCCCTTCTGTGGCTGAATATGATTCCATTCCGTGGAACTAATGATCGGTTTACGTAAACGTGTTACTGTGATATCATTATAAGATTTATAAGATTTTTCCCATAAATAAAATTATAATTTCATCAGCCCTAACTAGATTGATTTATTACTGCTGAACACTGAGTCGGCAATATCTCAGCCATATTTACCATATGCATAAGTCGAAAAGGTGAATATTACCTAATTATTTTCCACACGTGGTAACCTGACCAGACAGAGTAACATTTAAGTTACCATTTAAACAACTCTACTCACTTTCTGTTATAAATCACGCAAAATTACAAAAATATAACGCTAATCATGTCAGCATTCTCACAGGGATTTCATTTTTTTTATTTTTTGATTGTTTTAATTAAATTTACAATAACAAAATTTCATCAAATTTTTCAAGTTGTTCATCAAAAAAAAAAAAAAAAAAAAAAAAAAATTAAAAAAAAAAATTTTACACATGCTGTTACCCCATAAATTTTGTCAACTGAACCAAAAGTTCACTTTTCAACACCTGGTTCAATTAATCGTGCAATAACAATAGAAGAATGAACATAATCTAACAAGAATGATAAAACAGTGAGAAAATAAAGGTACTCGTGTATACATATCAATTGACACAAAACTTAAACTGTAATTAAAAAAAATTCAATATTCTGTATACAGACTTTTATTAAAGCTTATGCATATCTTTACGGGAATGCACGCTTATAGTGAAGTGCTTCAGCTAGGGAGGGACGCTTATGCTTCATTATAATATATAATTCGTTATATACATTAAGTTTGAGATATATTTTAAAGTCACAAGGAATGTAATCAATTAGCCTTAAGCATCAATTCAATAATAATGCCCTTAAAACATTGAACAGAGAATGGATCATCCAAAAAAAAAATCATATAGGAAACACCACAATAAAAATAGTATCATTATACATGTAGATAATACTGAACCTGAAATATTCAATATTGCAGGAGTAATAATTAGGGGACAAAGAATCAATTATAATTTCATTTTTGAATTACTTAATTAATCTAAATTATTTTTATACAATTAATTTTAACCTTGCTTAAGAAAAATTAACAACTTTGTTTGCATATTTAAAAAAAAAAACAATAACATTGAAGTGCGTATATACTACATAGCAGGTTATTTCTGTGATTGTCCATTTTTTAAGGAGTCTTTTTTATACAATTAATTTTACCCTTGCTTAAGAAAAATTATCAACTTTGTTTACATATTTAAAAAAACAATAACATTGAAGTGCGTATATACTACATAGCAGGTAGTTTCTGTGATTGTCCATTTTTTAAGGAGTTTATGAGGTACTGTCAAATTTGATATAGTTGCTCTAACTCTGCACTTCGAATGAAACTGCAAAAATTGCAAACTCAGAAATTAAATTTCCAAAAATATAATTTAGATGCAAAACAAAAGAGAGAAAGATTATATAACAGAAATGCAGATCCTATAGTTAACCATAACAGAATTTCAATCTAAAATAGGAAACTCTGTTCTGAATGATACTCAAATGTTGCTCCATGGCATTTACAAAATTGTAGAAAAATACTCTTTTCCAAAGGGATGTTCAAATTTTATAAAAAATAATTTTTTTAAATGAAATTTTTCCTGCATTATAATTGATATGTTTTGATTATAATATAGCTCAAATTTAACAAGTTCAACCAGTAGTAAAACATTAGTGTTCTCATGAAAACTTGACCCACCTATGCCAAATTTGACCCACTTGTGCAAAAAAAAAGTAAACACCTGAACAAAAATAAAGCTCAACCCTGAAATTAAACATATTGGTGCCTTCTCGTTTCATCAAAACCAAACTTACTGATACTTAATTTCTAAAAATAAAATGTCACGGTTCAGCAGACAGGTCAGTGACGCTCCAGTGAACACTTAACAGCCAAGTGACTGAACCAGTGAAGCTCTTTCTGTTTTACGAGTGAGGTCGTTAGATAATGGCTTCCATCCCCTTGATCCACAGTCCAACAGCTCCAGAAGAGTACAACGCCCCCTAGTTGTCAGTCTGTAACAGAGTTATAAATTATAATCTAGGTTCATCTGTATCAAAAGGTGCATGAGCATATTATTTTCCATATGTATATATGCCAAGTTATTTGGAATTTGGTTAATTATAGTATTTATCAGGTCATGTTTGGTGAAAATAGTAATACATTTTTTGCTTTTATCTTGCCAAATAATTCATTTAATCTTGACTGCTAAGATCATGCTAACACACAGTTGAAAAGCATTCTTAAATGTATTTTGAATATAAAATTGAAATGATACTTTGTCTTCCTGTCAAGCCTAATGAACATTTTCTGTGAATAAGAAAATGCACAATATATATAATAAAATATAAATGTATTTTTCCATGTATCAAGTATTTTTACATATTTTTCAGAGACTTAAAATGCTGACAAATTTTACAGATATGCCACCTGCTGTGCATATTTTTAGGTACCTATTACATATTTTAAATTGTAACAACTGCAGTGATAACATAAAATATATTTGTCTCTTGTAACTAATAACATCAAATCTTCCTGTATATATAAGTTTTCAATACAACCAAATGATTTTAGATATTGAAAATTACTATGATACTTGTATTAACCTGTTATAATGACAGTGTGATAGATGTGTAAAGTTAGCTGCAAGTACCTGGCTACTAGTAACTGACTTAAAAGATGAATAAAGCTAGCTACTAGTAACTGGCTGCGAAGTGTGAGTAAAGCTAGTTACTACAGTAGCTGGCTACTAGAAACTGACTTAAAATGTTATTAAAGGTACGTAGTTTCTATTTAATGGCTACATTACCAATATTAATTTAAAGGAAAAAAATGTTTTGAATGCATTTTTTAAAGTTTTTGAATAACAATCTCTTATTTTTGTTTCGCTAGTAAAAATATCTGATATCATAGTATGCTACTTTAAATTAATACTTGAAGTTTAATACTGTCGTTTCGTGTGCATTTTGAAATAATTATATCTTTGAAAAAAAGCTTGTTTGCCATGCAAATATTGACATCATTGAGGTAACTTGGTTCTTACTAAGCTAATATCAACTAATGTTGCTGATGTAACCTACTGTTTAATTCTCTACATGATTTGGCAATGAAGTTACCAAGATATCTATTGTAATATCTTTAGCAACTAGTACGTTTTGTGACATATGAATCCGTTTTTTTTTGGTAAGAAGTTAACATTCCCCAAGTAGCTTAGTATTTAGAGACTTGATATCTACTGATACAGGTAATAAGAATTGTCTTCAAGGTTCTCCACATAATATTTGATGACGATTGACATTTACCTTTAGTCATCTTTTCAACTACTAATACTATTTGTGAATCGTACGTAAATTTTATACAATTCTTAACATCACTGAAGTAACTGTGCTCTTACTAAGATGATATCTACTAATATCACTGATGTAAACTTCCTCTGTTTCTCCACATGATCTGGTACTGATGTTACCAAGATATCGGTAGTGATATCTTTATGCATTAGTACTTTTTGAGTAATATATTCCAAGTTTGCGATTAAAATGTTGACATCATTGAAGTTAGTAGATTCAGAATTAGCTTATATCTACATGTTTTAATATTGCTGACATAAACTTCCTCTCAGCTTCTGCACATGACCTGGCATTGAAGTTACCAAGATTTCTGTAAAAGATATACTCAGCTGCTGGTATTTTTGTGTAATATAATGCAAGTTTGCGATACAAATGTTGACACTGGACATCATGGAAGTCACTGATATCTACCAGCATTGCTGATGTAAACTTCCTCTTAGCTTCTTCACATGATCTGACACTGAAATTACCAAGATATTTGTGGTGATTTACATGCGTATTCAGGTTTGAAAAGGTCAGGAAAGATAAACTTTTATGTGCCGTACCATTCATCAGCCTTCACTTGGTTGTATGCACAATTAAAGATCAATTAAGAGCAGAGTATCGGTAGGCATGAGAGTAGACATGTTATATACCTAGAATAAAACGGGAAAGTAATATACTCTCTACCCGGAGTTATCATTCCCGGTACTATCGATGTAGTATAGCACCCTCTGGTGAGAGATTAACCACACGAGTATGTTGGTCACGTGACGTAGAAACATCAATATTGTGTTGCGTTTCCGTTGGTAAGGACAGCCGCCTTTACTTAGTTCTAGTCAGGTAATAAGTCTTGGTTAAATAATTCATTAATTTCATTTTAAATTGATTTTTTTTATACTTTGTATATATTAATTGAACCTAGCTTCGACAGTCATTTTTTCCTTGTTTGTAAAGAAGTAAAAACTATAGATTGATTTTTTTATCTTGTTTTATTTTTATTTATTTCCTTATTTTTCAATTGTGTATATTTTTGTTTAAGACGGGTATAGTGTCATATAAGTTGAAACAGATTTATGTAGTTTTTTAAGTGTCAGGAATCATATTAGCTCACATTCTTCCTCTTTTTATAAAAAAAAAAATTTCAAATCTATCAACATTAAACATTAGATCTCCTGCATTAAATTACGGACTAGCTTCACTTATTGGATTGCATAATTAAAACTATGAGAGATAAAAGGCCAACGGTGTATAATCAATATCTGGCAGGTTTCTTACAGGGTCACTCAGCCGATTGTCAATTATTCTTAATGTTATTTTAAAAGCATTGATGAGAGAAAAACTTGTTGTATGGTGTTTTGTGATCTATCAAAGGTTTTCGTTGGAGAATCGCATAAAGGTCTTCTATTTAAACTACAAACATATTGAATATTTGGCAATCCCTTTGAATGACGTTATAGTTATCTGAATAATTGAAGTCAGAAGTTTGTATACAGGCATGTTATTCTCTAGCTAGACTATTAATGCCGAGGTACATGTACTTCAGGGTTTAGTCCTTATTTCAGTTTTGATATACGTAATGAAAATATGTTGTCACTTTGTAGATCATTTGCAGAAGATAATTCAATGCAAAATCTTTCATCAGAGTTATTATATAGAGTATATCATTAAACAGATTTGAGTTGGTCAGGTTATATGAATATCAATATAAATTGTGCATAAAAATTTTGTTCTTTTCAACACCTAAAATTTACTCTTTAAAAAACTCTACCTAAAAGGTACTCATTTGATTTTTGTAAGGCCTCATGTTGAATTGTTAAATAGTTAGTTAGCTTCAGTTATCTTGGATTGATATTTACACATTTTGATATCAAACATTGGCAATTCTTTAGCGTGCAGCAGCGTGAATCATTATTTTCTTAGTTAAGAATTTAATGATATGTTCTTTCCAAAAATGGAGCTGCCCGCGTGGCGCAGTGGTTAGAGCGTTTGCTCTAGAGTCGCGGCGTAAGGAGTTGATCCTTAAGTCGCAGGTTCGAATCCCACCGTGGGACGTAGAGACCGGTCCTTCTGATGTGACCGTATAAACAGAGGTCATGTGTCGCAGGTGGTGCTGGCTCGAAAAAGATCCCTCACTGCTCAATGGCCCTAAGTGCCGAGTATAGGTCAAAATTTGCAGCTCTTCACCGGCAGGTGGTGGCATCTCCTTATTTTTTTTCTTGTAATGTTATCCCTCTTAACAGAGGGGCATTCCCCCTTAATTAGTTAATTGCTTGCCAAGTCTTACTAAAATCGCACTAAAATTGTAAAAGGAAGAGCATTTTAAAGAATTGTTTACAGATAGATAACTATACAGACGATCAGACAAAAAAAAAACCTTATTAATGCTTATTAAGGTCTTCTACTGTCTGACCAGTAGAGCTAAAAAGACCCTTTCAAATGTTGTTTTTTTAAATATTTATCAGTATAAAATTTTTTTTTTTTAATTTTCATAGCCACAACACGAAGGTATGGACCCCAATACTAGTTCCCAGGATGTGATCAGATGTGACTTATGTGAGATTGCTGAAGTACAGATGCACTGTGATACATGCCATAATAACCTGTGCAATGCCTGTGTGGGAGAACACATTTCTACTGATGACTTTAAAGATCACAAAGTGGTCAGATTTCAGTTTAGAAATTCCACTCCCCTCTACCCTGGTTGTGCCTTCCATGAAAAAGAACGATGCGAGATGTACTGTAGACACTGTGCAATTCCTGTCTGTTGCACCTGCCTGGCATCTGATCAACACCTCGGTCATAGATTATCAAAAATCTTACAAGTTCTGGGGGAAAAGAAAGAAATGATTAAAAAAGAGCTAAATCAATTAAATGAAACTATTTATCCGACCTATCAGCACATTGCAGCTGATGTTCAAAACAGAATAAGTGAGCTAGAAAGGGAATATAAAGGGATCTCAGAGGCCATCACAAAACGTGGACATTACTGGCACAGAAAAGTTGACAAAGTTGTGAAGAAACTTAAATCCCAAGTTGATGAAATGAAGAGCTCTCAGTTACAAACTTTGCGGAAACATTTGGATGAAATTAACAAGAAAATTATTGACATTAAAGATGAAATTGATTCATTTGATACATGTATTGCTGAACACACCAATGACATTGCAAGATTTATAAGTGTAAGACCCAAGACAGATCAATATCAAGAGCTTCCACAAAAACTTGTACCTTCCCTACCAAAATTCACTCCAAGGACAATTCAAGACGAAACATTCTGTCATCAATTTGGAGGTTTATCGCCATTTTTGTTTACATTGAAGAACATGGCTACAGATTGAAGACTACAGGTATGCAAGAATTACCAAAAGCTGGTTCCTCTCTGTTACTCAAAAAGAAATCACCAGACTTTGGATTCCATCAGGTTTACATCGACATTTTCTATCTTTCAAATGATCCTCAAAATATTTCGTGTCTGGGTGATGAAAAAATATGGATGTGTGATGAAAGCAATATTATAGAACTATACGATATCAAAGAGCATTCACAAAACAGGTTTATCAGAACGAAGTCAAAAAGCATGCCAGAAGACATAGCAGTGAAAAGTACTGGAGATCTCATTTATACTGATGGCATGTATAGAACTGTCAACATTGTGAAGAATGAAGACATAAAGGAGGTGATCAGACTACAGAACTGGAGACCTCGCAATGTCTGTAGCACTTCCTCTGCTGACCACCTGGTTACTATGGAAAGTGATGACAAAAAACAATCGAAAGTTGTTCGATATTCTGGTTGCATAGAGAAACAAACCATTCAATTTGATGATAAGGGTAAAGCTCTCTACTCATCTGATGGTTTTCGCCGATACAAATATATATGTGAAAACATGAACCTTGATATCTGTGTGGCTGATTATGAAGCTAAAGCAATAGTTGTGGTCAATCAGGCCGGGAAACTGAGATTTAAATATACTGGACATACTCCTGCTCCGAAGAATAAACCATTCAGTCCACGAGGAATCACTACAGACAGTCAGAGTCACATCCTTACAACTGATTATGATAATCGCTGTGTCCATATCATGGACCACGATGGACAGTTCCTACATTACTTAACCTTTGGAAAGAATAAACCATATGGAATCTGTACAGATGCAGTTGGCAATCTGTTTGTTATATGCAAAGAAAAGGATAAAGAAATGGATGACTTATTTTATACGCACAGTTGCGTTATGAAAATAAAATATATGTGAAATCAATCACATTAATAATCATTTTAATGGTATACTTGAAAGTCAGAAAGAAGATTAAACAGAACATATAACTGATTTCTACGTTTTAATTTTTCTCACTTAGGTGATTTTTACTGCAATTAACAACTCAAATAATTATGAATACCAGTCCTTCACTAGTTCCTTTTAAAATTCTTATTTAGATCAATGGTTTGGAGGACAATAAATACAAAATACCAGAAGAATCTGATGAGACAACAGCTGTTCTTGTATAAAAGCGAAAGGGGGGCGGTTAAGGAGACAAATCGTACCATTGATATTCGACAAAGTTCTTAAAACGATTTTTAAAGCATCAAGATTCTGGTCTTTTTTCTTTGTCAATGTGTGTTTTGGCAAGAGACTTGAGACCAGTCAATCGGATGAGATCGTATAAACCGAGGTCCCGTGTATTGGTAGGTACTGGCACGAAAAAGATCCCAAAAATGCTCAAAAGCCATAAGTGCCGAGTACAGGTCTAAATTTGAAGCCGTCCACAGCCAAGTGGTGGCATCTCAATATAAATTTTAAAAACTCGATGGAACATTAAACAAATAAACAAACAAACAAACAAATTGGCAAGATTAAGCCCAATCAATAATTAAAAATGTATCTTATGAGTTTGTATATATATTTCATAGCTTAAAACTGACACGGGATTCTTCTACCATGCATATTGCTGTATGCATGACTAGGGATTTTTTTTTTAAATTGATATTGGATTGTTTACTGTTTTGACAATATTTCGCAATTCCATTGGGACTTGACAAGGTAAAAAGGTATAGCGCACTTTGTATACGAAATAGCCTATAATATGGCGCATTCACAAACATCCGATATATTTCAATATTCAATGATATTTAGTAAATCTAACCATAAAAAATTATACCAGTACTTGGCACAAATAGTCATAATTATCTCAAAGAAGATCAATGAAATTGACCGAATTTGCATAGGATATGCAGAGAACTATCGAGTGAGCATTAAAAATTTAAAAAATTCAGATTTTATTAATTGGACCAACTTAAACTAGATACATCTGGAAGAGGTTATGTTCTTTTGATATCAAAGTATACTGTTATATTTAATCTTTTTGGTTTAACTTGGTCTATATATCTAATGAAATCTGGAGATAAAAGAGTATTCAAATTCGAAGTCCGTTTAAACAATACAAACTTGGAGCAGAGCAAACACGGATCTCTTAAAACATCACAGATTGGATCAGGTGTCATGAAAGAGTAAGCATCACCTGCCAACCCGTCACACCCGCCGTGTGCTCCTTGTCGTGATCGGGAAAAAAACGAAAAAAATCCATAGACAATTTAGTGTGTTTACGTAGTTATCTCCCCCCCCCCTAAAAAACTCTTACTCGGGTCTATATATACAGAAAGGACACGATGTTTGTCAATAGTCTGCGTGGTCCAGTGGTTTACGCTGAACTGTTTTTGTATTTGAGCTCTCTGTTTCAAGTACCCCAAATTCCAGAATTTTTTTTATTCTTGCTTTAATGATAGTTATTAGTATACATATATTTTTACTAAATCTAGTTGATTTTGAATCAATATATTTTCCACATAATATACATATTAGAAATAATGTTAACTGACTAAATACAACATGGATTTTCGATTTTTGTGGAAAGAAGAGACACAAAAAAATATGGATTCGTTGACGACGTGCATAAGATGCAACAATAGTTCTCAAAACGAATAGTAATGAAAACCTGTCATGATAACAAAAACCTTTAAAACAATCTAAAAATAATCTCGATGCGTTATTCCGAAACGTGTCAAACGAAACAAAAATATTAAAATTATGAAACGTATGTTTATTTTTATTTAATGATACATGTTTATTCACATGTGCAAAGAAGCTGGTTGTGAAGTAATCAAAATATCTCGTACATAAACAAGTTTTGTTTCTCGTGAATTTATATCCCGAATTAGACCACAAGTTTACGGGTAAATATTTTAAGTGATATAAATGTAAAAGTAGTATCCAATATTTTTTCACAAGGTTGATTTCCTAAACCAATGCGCCAACTTTATCTACTTATATAGTAACAGGTACTTTCCAATTAAATGTGGTAGTAGGCGAAATACTGGGAAAGGGCGCTATACCTCTTTGCTTATGGTGTTTTTAATAAATATGTTACTATTGTTAAAAAAAGATATTTAAATGCCCAAACTGGCAAGTAAATTTAGTATTTACTAAAGCGTAACCGTTTCCTAGAAATGCTAGAAAATTGTGTTAGCACTTTTTTCGAGGAATAAATTTCTATTTTTCTTTGTGTTATGTTTTTATTGATTGCATTTATAACCATAAGAATAAAAAATCCTCTCAAGGGACATAAATCAACAAACTATCAAAAATTTTATCGAAAGTATATACGACACGGGTGGATGCAGATTGGAAAATGGGATCTACTTCATTTACATTCTATCATAAGCTTTTGCGTTAGCCCACTGGTAGAGCGGTAGCTTCTTGTCCGGAATCGATTTTTGTTCATGGCGCCGCGCTAAACCTAATATAGAGACTGTTCCATCTTCACGCACCCGGCATAAGACGTGAAAGTCATTGTTTTTTCGGATGAAACCTTGAAAACCAAGGTCTCGTGTTTCGGTAGGACTTGGCACGAGTGTAAACCCTCACTGCTCAATGGCCCTGAGTGATCAGATTGGTATGAATTTGAAGCCAAGGTCCCGTGTCTCTGAAGGTGTTGGCATGAAAAAGAACACTCACTGCTCAATATCCCTGAGTAAGGTCTTAATTTCAAGACCTTCACTGGTATATGGTGACGTCTCATATGACTGAAAAATTCAATAATGATACCATTATAAGTTTTATGACGCAACAAAACCTAGAAAATTTTATTAATGTACAAAAAGTAAACAAAAACACCTTCAATACTAAAGTAATCAGTTTATTTAGAAAAAATTTTTATCAATGTATGACTTGACCAATAAAAAGGGAATTTTCAATACATTAGTCTCTCATATTAAGAAAACAGTTCATTGAAATAGTTCCTCTTGAATATACTTTCTGAATTCATAGAGAAAAAGGTACTTTAAGGCATTTATGGAATAAGAAAATTCTCATCTTTTTCTACAGCTCTAAGAAACAAAGACATGGACCCTCGTGTAAGTGCCCAGTATGTCATGTGCTATGAGCTGGTTCTAATGAAGTTTCTTAAAATATTTATAGACAACAAATCATTAACTTTTACTGTTTCGGAGCTACCAGGTTATCAGCTCAATAGAAAATAAATCTGTCAAGGACAAACCTATATTTAAACATGAATAAATAACATCCTTTTTTTCAAAATAATCATACGAATTTCCAAAACCATGTAAACGTAATGCTCTCTCAGACTTTTCAAGGACGACAACTTGAATAAACTCTAAAGCCACATTCGAGATTTGATTATAGCCCTACCTCGAACATAATTTTATCACACTGCAAACTTGAAGACAGCATGAGAAAAAGAAATCTTTGAATAATTGTTAATGTTTAGAAAAAATTATTATCTGAAAAAATCAGAATGAAATGAGTAACATTTTGTTCAAGTTGTGAAAAGTACAAAATGTGCAACTTCAACTATGTTTAATTTGTCACAAAAAAAACTGAACATTTTATGCAATTCTCTTCCATTTTGTTTAATAAAGAAGCATATTTATACACTGTGTGTCAAATAACAAATTATCTTTGGTGAATGTAAAAGTACACTGTCTCTACTTTTAGTTTGTGAAGACTGATCGATTGTGAATCAAAGACAAAATTCTATAGAAGTACAAAATTCCTAACCTGTTCGATAAATGAATAAAAAAGTCATATTCATTTGTACTGTATATGACTGAGACAGGATAATCCAAGTTGTGTTTGTAGTCTTAGAAAACCTGTTTACATAACTGTGATTTGTTAAAATCAAAATCTTTGATCTTTGAAGAATTTGATACCTTAATAACTGTGGAAGTGAATAAAGAAATCTAGCATTATCATTTATGAAAAATATTGCAGTAAATAAACTTGCCCAATCTGCATGGTGTGCCAAAATATCTTATTCTCAAAATAACATTTTCCATTTTTCTAAAACATTCTTTGACCGTACTGTTGCTAAATAAGGTGATATTCCATGGAATAATTGATTGGTTTAGATTAACTTCTACTGTAAAAGAAATTTTGATAAGATTTTTCCTACAAATGAAATTTAACTGCATTAACCATTTTATTGCCGAGTCGGTAATATCTTAGCTATATTTCAGTGGTACAATTAGTAGACTAGGAATACCTGTATAATAAATGGTCAAATATTGTCCACTCATGATAAACTGATCAAACAGAATAGCATTTGAGTAACCATTTAGACAGTGCTACTAACTTTTTATGTTAATTAAAGGTCACAGAAAATCAAAAGCTGACCATGTGAGCCTTTATATTGGAATTTTTTAAAATTTCTATTTTAGAATGAAAAATCCAATTTTTTTTAAATTTAGAATTAAGAAATATGAGAGAAGAAGTTTTTATCAAGAAAAAAAATTACATAAGCTATTACCCTGAACTTTTGTAAATGTACTTATCAATCGTAAGTTCACTTTGCGACACCCAGGTCAACTAATCGTGGACTAATTATAGAAGTAAAAAACATAATTCAGTATGAATGACAAAACAATGATAAAAAAGGTTACCTCTCATGATCTCATATCATTTGACACAAAACTACGATGTACTTTTGAAAGTTTAACTCAAACATTTGACATACTACAGGCTTTTATCAAAGCTATTGCATATCAAATGCCAGTCCGCCGAAACATGGCTGAAATATTGCCGACTCGGCGCTAAACAATAGACAATCAATCATAATGCCCTTTAACAAATATTTTACAGAGAATGGATTATTACTAAAATATTCTGTATCGAACCACCACAATTCCCTTAGTATCAATATAGATACATGTAACACTGGACACAAAATATTCAGTATTGCAGAAATTAAAATAAGGCCACAAAAAATCAATTATGATTTAATTTTTGAATTAATTATTGAATGTAGATGCCTCTCTACACAATAAATTATATACTTGTCAGGAAAAATTTTCAAACTTTGTTAAATGTTAACAGCAAAGAACATATATATACTGCATAGCAGGTATTTTCTTTTGTTGGCTATTTTTTGGAGTAATTTTTGAGATTCTGTTAAACTTGCCAAAAATAAAATCCAAAAATTTAAGTTCAAAACTTGTCATCTGTGCAAAACATGTGAACACATGAACAAAAATAAGGCCAAACTCTGAAATCATACCAAGTGGTGCCTTCTCAATTCATCTAAACAGAACATGTTGATATGTCATGTCTAAAAAAATATAATGTAACAGTTCAGCAGACAGGATACAGTCACGCTCTTTTGAATTCATACCAGACACGTGACGTAACAGAAGCTCTTCCTGTTGTAACAAGGTGTAATTCTACGGTTGTAAAATGGGGGTCACTCGATTCTTGTGGCAAATATCTCTACCACAGTGTCACAGTATAATCGCGTCAGGTCGTTATATAATGGTTTCCAACCCCGTGATCCACACTCCAGCAGTTCCAGAAGAGTACAGCGCCCTCTAGCTATCAGTCTGTAACAGTTAGGATTACAAATAAATTCAATGGCATCTGCATGGAAAGATACAGTCATGTATATTTCAAATATATCTACTTTTAAGTTATTTTAGTTTGTTTCATCATAAGTAGGCTTTCAAAACTTGGATACCTTTTTCTTGTTTGTGTTCTGTTTGTGTTGTTGGGCTATTTTCGCAATCTTGCCATGCCAAAATTATTCATTTGAAATGGGCTGTCAAGTTCTTGTCAGCACAGAGTTAAAATACTTAATTTGAATTATTTTTAAAAGGAAATTAAAAATATAAATCACAAAAGTTTGCATAGTTTCAATATGTTTAATTGTGAATGATTTTTTTTTTTTTTTTTTTTTTGAAATCAGAAAATGCACAAAACATCTAATAAAATATGTTGTTTCATGTATAAGTATTTTACATACTTTTTAATGACTGAAAATATTGATAAAATTTACAGATTTTTTTCTACCTTTTTATAGCTTACAATTACGTATTTTTCCTTGATATCATAAATATTGATCAAATCAATAGGTACAGCAAATCCTGTGCTTGCTTGATTTCAGCTTCTATGCAAAGGTAAGCAATTCCCGAATTGTATTATGAAATATGTGGAGATAACGAACAGTATTCAAGCTCAAAAGTCCATTAAACAATACAAAATAGGAGCAGAGCAAACACGGACCTCTAAGCATCAGAGGTGGGATCAGGTGACATGGAGAAGTGAGCATACCCTGCCGACCGGTCACACCCGCCGTGTGCTCCTTGTCATGATCGGGAAATAACGGAAAAATCCGTCGACAATTCAGTGTGTAAATAATGGCCTAACAATTAGTATGAAAAACGACAGTCAGCATTTGACTCAATGATAAATTGTATTTGGAATATAATGTATTATATTATGACAGCCAATAAATATATTTATCTGCTCGAACTAATATTAGTATTTACTTAATCTTAGAGCTGACATGAATTCTTAAAATCGCAACATTTGCTTCAATGTACGACTTGTTTCATACCAACTATTCCGCCATATTTCTTTCAGATACCTTGTCTTATTGTAACGATATATACCCCAGTGCCCTCGTTCCACTTGAGTGTATTTTTGGTTTGGCTATCGATGCGTGCACATCTCCGATAGTAAAGTATTTGGGAACACATGAATTGATGAAAACAATTTAAAACCAGATCAGATAAAAACAGTGATAACGATAATTATGAATAATTATCGATAATTATGAATAATTATCGTTTTGAATAATATAAATGCAAGTTTGGAAGAAAAAAATTGTTGCGCGCGTTTTTTTTAAAAGGCATACCAATATATGCACAATAAACGTGAAATATTACACAGTAAAACTCGTACAAACAATTTGCAATAATCTATCGTAAGAATGGAACAAACCACCAGCGTATTTCCTATGCATGTCCACATGCATCCAAATGCAATTGATGCATATCGAGTCTGATTACACGTCGAACACTGTATACTTATTCATACCTGGAAATGACCACTGTACCCGTTCGAAGATGTGCACATGCCGAATAATTTACACCTTGTATTCCATTCATTGAAATATGCATCACAAAAAGTAATAATCTCCATAAATACTCAACAGTAAACACGTTGTCACTTCATCGTACAGCCTAGCACTCGAATACACTTAGTCCGTGCTGATCAGATTTTGGTTAGGCAAAATATCAAAAGTTAAAAAGGAATTAGTATTTGCGGGACTGGGTAAAAAGTAAGAAATCACTAAAAAAAAAAAGTCTGATTGCTAATTATCTAAAAACTTAACTGAGTAATTTGGTGTAAAAAATGATTTAGAACACGACATGAGAGCATTTAACCAGAACACAAATTAACAAATATACACACACGTGGAGCGGGGGGGATATACTCCCTTTTCTCAGAGTGTCTTTCAGGAACGTAGCATCTTAGAAATAATTGACACTTTACCTGAAAAATCTTTGACAAGCAAAAAAAAAATTGATAATAAAAATTATAATAATAATGAAATCAACAAATAAAAAAATAAATAGCATAAAAAAAAAGTTAAAAAATCCTATTTTGTGGGCGGGGCCACTTTTTCGAGGATTTGAGTATAGTGCAACAAAAAGTGGAGGAGATAGCCTTTGGGTGTGTTTTTCATACTAAACAGTAAAACATTATGCTCGGAAAAAAAGGGGGCATCCAACACCCACGCGTTCTAGATTCCTATCTTTAAGGTTGATTTTGGAGGGATTTTTATTTTCGGACTAGCTGGCTCCCCCACCCCCCTCATCCAACATTATTGTACACTGTACTCAAATATTTTTCTGCCGAAAATGATAGTATGAATGGAATCTGTCCCTCCCCTGACTACGGATTTTTTATATGCCTGTTTTCCTTCTTCACTTCCTCCAATTTTTAAGTCCCTAAAGTTTTTCTTTTGCTTGTCAATCATTTTACTGCCCCCTCCCCCAACCCCCACTCGCTCCCCCTTGCATTCATACATTTTGAGAAACGGTGCTACGTTCCTGTTTTATATGCATGTATAGAAAGTCTTTCAAGATTGGGGAGTTTCCGCAGGCAGTCTAAAATTTGGTACTTATTCAATTTCTTGTACTTTGAGAAAATTTTAAATCTCAAAATCTTACTTGAAACCTAAACCGCAAGATTATGGATAAATATTTTTTGCATTTTTAATACAAGTATTCTCTCTCTCTCTCTCTCTTTCTCTCTCTCTCGCATGTGTAAGCATCCGCACATGTAAGAGCAATAATGCATATCAAATCCGATATAGTAAAAATCTTGGGAAATGATAGTCTTTATAAGGGCAGATCAAGAAATTTTTCTGGGACAGGGTGGATCAAATCTGCTAAAAAATTGTCTCCTTTTATGACAGCCAAAACAATAGGCCCATGGGCTACAACGCTCACCTGAGTAACATTGGCCTTGCTGTTTTCACCTGATCCCCCCCCGTAGTACTTATTGTGGCCCCGCCCTACCCTTGGGGGTCATGCTTTGAACAATTTAGAATCTACACTGCCCCAGGATCCTTCCACTTAAGTTTCAGCTTTTCTGGCCCAGTGGTTCTTGAGAAAACGATTTTTAAAGATTTTTTCTACATATTTCAATGAAAAACTTGGATTCCCTATTGTAAGTTTATAAATTAATATGCTTCATTTTCTAGATATATATTTACATAAAATAATTTCTAGACATATATTTACATAAAATAGTGTCACAGAAAAAGTTGCATGCTGAAACACGAAAGCTATTTATGTTCATAGAAAGTTTTATGCCCATTTCATTTTATGCTTATTGGGACAAATGAGATAACTCTAATTTTTCATTGAAGTATTTGAACAGCCACGGATATGATTGAGTATGCAATTTGAATTGGTATCAGCACCATATTGGCACTGTAAAGAATTTTTTTTTCTTAAACTTAAAATACTAAACTTTATTCAACTGTTATTTAATGATAAATGAATGATATTTTCAACTTCAGTTCTGTGTTTTACTGGTTACTTTATATTAAATCACAAATAGCAGCTCTTAGTTCCAGCCATGCAGAAAAATGGGCATGAAATGGTTCTTACAGAGTATTATAATACAGACATTTAAATACCTTACACAAACTAGGACGAAAAATACATGACAGGTACATAACGCAGTTATATGGGTCATGTGACCTAAAAACACCAGTTGTGTTAGATTTCAGTTACTAAGAGGGACCGCCATTTACCCCTTTGTTGACAGGTAATAATTATGTATAGAATTATTTTGAATTCTAGACTTTTTTCCTTTTAACTCATAATTTACTCTGATATCTATATATCTTTTGAAATATTTTGTAATCGAGGTATTGCGTTAAATGTTAAGTATTTATGTTCCTACAAATGAATGTGTCTGACAGTCAAAGAATCATAACAGACCTGTTAGATCAATGGTCAGTGATACACGATTTCATATTCATTTGAATTCATAAACCAAAAAAGAGAAACTTTTAATACTATTGTGGGAAATCAATAAATCTCAGAACTTTTATGTTCAGATACAATCCTAATTGAACCGTTGAAAACAAAGTCTTGGCTGATTAGCGAGTAGCATAAAGTTTGAAGCTTGTTTGTTCGTACAAATTATTAACATTTTGCTGTAGTTAATACGTACTAAAAAAATCTGATTTTATGCCTTTAAAATTGATACCTTTGAAGTAATTATGTTCTTCTGTCATTTTGACATAAGACACTTGCTTATATAAATATAGACTTGATATCCATTATTGAGAGAGAAGTAAACCAGGTTAAGAAAAAGCGGGGAAAAGATTATCTCACAATTTTCTCTATTCATAAATCAAGTATTAATGATGTTCATACAAGTATTATTCAACAAAAAATCATAATTTTAATATTTTCAGATTCAAATACTCATCATGGACACCCGTACTACTGCACAGGATGTGATGCGATGTGATCTGTGTGAGACTGCTGTGGTACAGATGCACTGCGATACATGTCTCGCCAACGTGTGCAAGTCATGTGTGGGAGAACACATCTCAAAAAATGAATCCAAGGATCACAAAGTGGTTAAATTTCAATCTAGGAAAACCACCCCCCTCTACCCTGGATGTGCCTCCCATGAAGAAGAACAATGTGAGATGTACTGTAGACATTGTGACATTCCTGTCTGTCACACTTGCCTGGCATCTGATCAACATCTTAGTCACAAGCTCTCAAAAATTTTGCATGTTGTGGGTGAAAAGAAAGATTTCATAAGGAAAGAGCAAAATGAATTAAATGAAACAATTTATCCAACATACCAGGACATAGAAGCTGATGTGCAAAACAGAATGAGTCGGTTAGAGACGGAATATGGAGTTCTCTCAACGCCATAACAAAACATGGTGAGGATTGGCACAGAAAAATTGACAAACTTGTCAGGAAGCTTAAAACTCAAGCTGATGAAATGAAGACCTCACAGTTACAAACTTTACAGAAACATCTGGATGAGGTTAACAAGAAAATTGTTGCCATTAAATTCGAAATCGATTCACTTGAAATTGCTGCAGACACTAATGACATTTCAATAGCATTCAGTGTAAAATCCAATGTAGAAAAATATAAGAAACTTCCACACAAGCTTGTTCTCTCAGTACCTACATTTCTTCCAGGGACAATTCAAGGGGAAGAACTTAGTAAATTATTTGGAGCTTTATCATCAATTTCTCTAAAATCAGAGGAGAATGGATACAGTATACAGAGAACACAAAGATTATTAGAAGTTGAATCGAGGAAATATTGCCTCAGGCTACCCTGGAAATGTTGCCCCAGGCTTCCATAGAAATGGTTTCTTCCCTGGAAATATGAAATCAGGCATTCCTGGAAATATGGCTTCAGGCTTCCCTGGAAATGTTGCCCCAGGCTTACCTGGAAATATGCCTCCATTCTTCCCTGGAAACGTTGTCACAGGCTTCAATGGAAATATGACCTCAGGTTTCTATGGAAATGTCGCCACAGGCTTCAATAGAAATTTGGCGCAAGGTTACCCTAGAAAGGTTGCTTCAAGTTACCCTCGAAATGTTGATTTAAGCTACACTGGAAATATTGCATCAGGATACCCTGGACTTATTGCCTGTTTGAGAAATGAAAAGATTTGGATAAGTGGGTATAGCCGCTCCATGACACTCTACAGTATAAAACAGGGCTTACCAATCAAGACAATAACAACAAAGTCAGGAAACAGACCAGCAGACATAGCAGTGAAAAGTAGTGGAGATCTTATTTACACTGATTACTCAGATAGAACCGTGAACATTGTGAAGAGTGAGAACATGGAGGAGGTGTTAAGACTACAGTTTTCGAACTGGAAACCTCACGGTGTCTGTAGTGCCTCCTCTGGTGACCTTCTGGTTATCATCGAAAGTGATGAAAACAAACAATCAAGAGTTGTCAGAATCTCTGCCTCCACAGAGAAACAATCTATACAGTTTGATGATGAGAGTAAACCTCTTTACTCATGCGGTGCTTCTGATAAATACATATGTGAGAACAGAAACCTTGATATCTGTGTGGCTGACTGTGGAGCTAAAGCAATAGTGGTGGTCAATCAAGCCGGGAAACTAAGGTTTAGATATAATGGACATATTCCTAACCCACAGAATATACCATTCAATCCAAGAGGAATCACTAGAGACAGCCAGAGTCATATTCTGACAAGTGACGATAACAATCACTGTGTTCACATCATAAATGAGGATGGTCAGTTCCTACATTACATAGGCTGTGAGAAACGTGTTACATTATGTGGGTTGTGTACAGATACAGAGGACAATTTGTTCCTTTTTGGTTACGGACATCCCTCATTCATGTTAGAGTCTTGTGTGTTGAAAATAAAATACTTAGATTAAAATCGATGCATATACATATTGTACCTGACACACTTAAACATAAAGAGTGAGGAAAACTACTTTAAACAAATGTACTTCTTTTTTTTTTGTTTTAGTTTAGGTGAAATTATTTATTTACTAATAAAAGCATCAAGTATCTATGGAATATAGGGTGGTAACAAAACTGAGTACATTGGTGGCCATTTTGAATTTTGTGTGTAAACTAATTAAGCTAATTAAAAAAAAACTACTTACCTCTCTTCTAAGTTGACTTATTTTTCGTGATATAATCCTTTGATCTGATAACCAACTGAAGTTGGCGAGGAATTGAGGAATATAAGTTCTGTATGTACATTAAAGGAATTGAAAGCCAGGCATGCTGACGTACTGCTTTCAGATCATCAACTGTATTTATATTCATCATATGTCTTTTTACTTGATTTTTTAAGATAAGCCAAATATTTTCACAAATATTGACATCAGGAAATTGAGCAGGCCATGGTAGGGTTGAAATGTTGTTATTTTCGTTTCAGGCTTTAGTCATTCTGGAGGAATGAGGTGGAGCATTGTCATCCTGAAACATATATGGTTTGTTTCTGAAATATTTGGCTATAACTGGCCACAGTTTCTCATCTTACACATTTAAATTTCTCGCTGTCCATATTTCCGTCTGCGAAAGTTTATAATCCCTGGCCATGGTAAGTTATACAACCTCACACCATTACTTTCAAGTTCCTGTTAGTATGGCCAATACACTCGGGAAGATACTTCTCTCGTTTTGTTCTCCAGACTTTAACAACCCTACTTTCAATGTTAACTTACTTCTGGTCCAAGAAACTCGACGTACTCTGTTTATTTGTTTGACTCCCAACTTCTTGGCTATAGTTCGCTTTTTTCAGATTAAAGTTATGAATAGTTTTCTGATAAGTCATCTTTGAATGTAGTGAATTCTTCAGTAATATCTAGCGGAGTTGATGTCCGGTTCCTGCGAATGATGTAATTAAGTGTCCGACAATTCCAATTGTCCATTTTTCAGATCGGTGGCGATTTTCAATAGACCCGCTGTCCAGATACCGCTCCAAAAACCTACAGATTGTTGCTGGAATTTTTTTTTTCAATAACATAGAATGCACTTTACCGGTACGGTCGCCATTTTGATTCTAGATCCGTGCGTGAGGTGGCCCGGCTTTAAAACTTAGCAACGTATCAACTATAATGTTTGTTAGGAAGCGAAAAAAAAATAAACGTGTGTTTTCGCAATATTAAGCGGGGATTATGTAGCGGCAGCCCCCAATATATGAGTGAATATATGATTAAACTTACCTTAGTCGTCAAATAAGTCTGAGCTAGCATTTAGCTGGTCTGCGTTGTTGTAAAAAAGCCAATGGTTGTTCTTTTGCAGGTGTAAATACGTTTGATGAGGGAAAGGAAGTAGGTAAATTTATCGTCTACGTCTTTCAAATATTTCTTTCTTAATCAATATTCAATTAAATAACTTTCGTAATGCTGTTTCTGTGTTCCGATTTTGGGTACAAACTTTTTTTATTGCGTTCCATGTAGATTCATTAAAGTTCGTACAGGTTCGAGTGTCTTTATTTTCAAATTCTGTAGAATGATCGACAGTTAGATGACCGTATCCCTCCGATTTCAAACTAGAATATGCTTTCCAATAGTCTGATAAAATAATGGTTCCAGGTTCTACAAATTTCTTTATTATAGGAATCGGGGTGTTTTTTCCCCCAGTTCTTCGAAGAAGCACTTTTTGGACTCCCTTTCAATCCCACCAAACACCCAAACACCATCCACTTTCTTACTACAATGGTACTTTCTCTTGCCAAATTTACTCCCGTCTATCTCCACGTTTTTAATGGTCCACCAATCCTCTCACTGTCCTGTTTTGAAATGCAGAGACAAACCTCTCTTGCAAAGTTTTTCCAGTCTACAATGGTTTGGTCACTTCTAATCTTGCAATAATAATTCTTGCAACAAAATCCCCGGGTAGTTCGTATACCCAGTAGTATGTTAATTTAATTGTCTGCTCTAGGAGTAAATGGCTTCCGGAAAACCAGGATCCCTCTGTTACTGACTTTTTTTGTTACGCTGTCTATTGCTACACCTCAAAACAACACCATCCTTGATTGGTCCTCCACTACCTACCTACCTACCTACCTAGTCCTTGTTGCACCCGGAGGCACATAGGGCAAGGACTAGGGATTTCCAATCTTCTTTGTTCTTATCTATCCTCTCCACCTCATGTAAGATTCCCGTCCTTCAGTTCTTTTTCAACTATCCGCCTCCATGTTGTTTTTTGGTCAGACTTTCCTCCTTTTCCCTTCTGGGGTCCATCTTAGTGCCACCCTTATGATATCGTTTGTTGATTTTCTTAAGACATGGCCAATCCCTCTCCATCTGTATTTTCTTAGAAATATCCCCATATCAGTTGTTTTTGTTGTTTCATGTAGATTTTTGTTGGTAATTTTTGCTGGCCAAAATATCCTCAAGATCTTCCTGAGGCACCCATTATGGAAACTTGATAGTTTGTTTATATCACTTTCTGTCATCCCCCAGCATTCAGCACCATACATTAAGACAGATGGTACACAGCTATTATACAGCTTGATCTTAGTGTGTCTGCTGATGTTGTTTGACTCTCATATATTCTTAAGTTTGACAAAGGATCCTCCGCCTTTATTTAATCTTGCTATTATATCCTTGTCAGCACCGCCATCTGATGTCACTTATTTCCACTAATTTAACATTTCCATCAATGCAAGAGTCATGTTTCCAAATAAAATTTCCAAGAAGTCAAAAAATTTGCAACCAATCGATTAAAATCCCCGTTCATAGCATATCTCATACAAATCGTAAACAAAAGGCATAGTACTACAATCAGCTGATTCACTGCTTACATTTAGCCCAACCATCAAACTCCAAATTAACGTCACTTACCTTGACCAATCGCAGCATTGAAATAAATTACGTGCTTAACAATGTCATGACTTTGGAATGTGGCTGACGGAATGAGAGCAAATGGTTTGTTTTGAAAGTGATTTCAGTTTTAATTAATAACTTCGTTAATTAAACGAAGTTTATTTACAGAAAAAATGATGAGGAATTCATAAAATAGGATATTTTTGCATTGCATTGCCTTTTTAGCGAAATCGTCACGCTAACGCGTGACTCTCTAATAGAGAAAGAGCACGTGCTATTTCTTGTTATTTGTACGTACCGGTAAAGTGCAGTTGTCCCCTTGTACCCCTTAACACTGAAGAGCTGACACAGTCGTACCAAAATCATTCTTTTAAATGACAATAACAACTATTGAGTTGTTATTGTATGTATCGAATACTTTATTTGCATAAACTCTACTTCGGCAATCAGAAATCAAAATAGCGGAAAATTTACTCACTTTTATCATCATCCTGTACAAGTCAAATCAATGTTACAAAGAATGAACCTTTATTTCTTATTTTGTACCATAAATGGGTGTGTGATAGTACATATTGTCGTTTTGAACATATTGTCGTCTGCGACATTATGCACATGTACCTACCCTCACTGCACAGATTGTCGTCCATCGGTACATATTGTCGCTGCCTAAAAAGTTAAACATGTACATATTGTAGCACACATTATGTGCCTTACTCTCACTGTACATATTGTCGCCCCACAGATATTGTTGCTTAAAGCTGACATGAACTCTTCAATATGTGAATTTTTCATCCTTGTACGACTTATTTCATTCCCGTTCTCTTTTTTCCGTCAATTTCCTTCAGATTCGCTCACTTATTCTACAGGCTACATAATCCCTGATACCTTTGTTACACTTGAGTCATTTTCTAGCCTGGCTGTCGACATGTACAAACCGTTCTGGAACACGCCATGAACTCACCGAAAACATCAACTCCGATAAAGCAGTTTTGGAACATGCAATAAACCTAACAATCCTACCAAAACTAGGAATTTTATTGAAAACTGGAAAGGAGTATATAAATTTTGAATAATTTAGATGTAATGCATAAAAATCAAAACGCTAAATGCATGTTTGATATACATATATATTTAAACAATAAAGAAGAAAAGGCTACCACATGCATGTATTTTTTTTCAAATAACACGGTACTGTTGAGCTTTATGCATGCTACACATTATAAGCACATATTATGCAACTTACGCATTCAAGTAATACATGCATGCATGCCGAGAAAACGCGTCGAACGCTTTAAACTAATTTGCCTGAAATACTGCTATCGCTACAGGGATGTACACATGTCGAAAGAATTACTTCCTATTTTCGTTTTATTGAAACATGAATCACAAAAGAAATAACTCCATTTGTAACTCAACGGTAAACACGTTGTCACTAGCACTTGAACACACGTGGTTCCTGCCGATCATCATTTTTGGTCAGGGAAAATATCGAAGGTGGAAATGACGCTGGTATTTGCCTGATTAGACAATCTAGTCACGCAAATAAAAACATTTCAGAAATCGAACTAACTGTGTAAATATGTTTATGCATGTGGCTTCATTACATCGAATTTATTACATAAACATACATTCTTGTTACGGATCTTTACATCTTTAAAGAAAATGAAAAGGGGGGGGGGTGGAATATGTAGAATACATTTTTCAATATATTTTAAACAAACGTCGTAAAAAAGGTAGGATTTTTCTTAATCAAATATATTTAAATACGTGCATTGAACTGGCCTCAGCTATTTTAGATATAAAACTAATATATCTTATATTTACACACGCTGATCAAGACAGATTTTCAAATCAGGGCCCTTTTAGACGTCACAAATTACAAGCACAATTGACACAATTACCAACAAGCACAGACATAATTATGTGTATATAAAATAATCCACAGTACATTTTTTTGTATATATTGAATTTAAGTACACTATTAGTATTATTATATGAAAGTAATATTGATAATTGAAATAGTTCTACCGCGTACCCAAATGTAAAGTGGGGTGATTCTTGATTTCTTTTTTGTGATGCTTATTTCAATA